AGGTTGGAGGGCTAGCTGGCGGCTGGATAGCAGGTTGGGTGGTAGTGAGAAAGTCTTGGAAGGGGCAGCAACTGGTTGGGGCGGCTGTGAGGAAGGCTGAAAAAATAAAAGTAGGGAAAAGCAGACAGCAAGCAAGTGTGGGCTGCAGAAAAAATAGTAAAGAGACTATTTTCCGGTGATAGTAGCAAATGCAGTGAGGGCCAAGGTGAAGGAAATGTTGCGGGAAAAGGGAAATTGAGGATAAATATCTCTGCAAGATCAAACTACAACATGAGCATTATTCGATTCTTAGAGGACGGTCACCACTTCAAACGAGCTACAGCTCGAGCACCTTCTCATCTTTAAATACAACCCTAAAAGGGAAACATTGGAATTCGATGACTGTCCTGAATAGAAACATACACAAAATTGACACTAGACACACACAACCAACATAAAATACTATTAGGCAACTAAAGAGTAGCCCACTCTTTTGGGTGACACTTTCAAAACTTAGGAACTGAACCGATCCAACTTATTGTCGAGTGGTAGTCAGGGCAGTAAGTTATCAACTAGGATGTCCTAAAACTCTCTTTGTATTGCTTGTCCCCTATTTGCCCCCAACTTTTCTCTCTCGCGGTCCCCTGTCATCACTAGGACTGACCCTCCTAGTGCTTCTCTGCTGGCAGGGATACCGGTGATCTGGGACTCCATAGAAGGTAGAATGTAGAAGGACGATGTGCTTGCCATCTTTAGTGAGGAGTATGTATTCCTGAACCGATCATATTGAGTCTTGTAATCAAACTGTCACGGTATTCCCAACAAAAGACGAGGATCATCCATAAACACCACGTCTCACCAAACATGATCCTGCAGCTGATCCCCAATCGAAAACTCCACGAGACACCTCCTCTCAGTGGTGATCATGTTCTCCTTCTTCAGTTATGTCAGGAAATATGACTAAAAATATTTCTGAGTAATGATGCTCAACTTGTCCACTATTAGTGTTAATGCCACATTCTTGTTGCATAACTTACCCTTTACAGTACACTAGGTGTGAAAAATATTATGGCGAAGCCATTATTGCTCCCTCGTAGTCTCAGTCTATAGAGCCCATCGAAACACGAGCATATCACCCTCATATGGTGGAAGGTGATACTCCTCACCCTTCTCTTCAATTTTTTCTTTATTGCTCGATTTCTCAATGACACCCAGCTCGATGAAGAACATAACTTGGCTCATCGGACAAAGTGACGTGTCCAAAATCATGATATTTGAAGCATTTTCTGGAGGAGACTGTAATGGGTGTGCTTCTTTTCTCAGATTTATTCTCACTAAGAGTAGCTCTATCCTGCTCCTAAATAGTTTGTTACACTCCCTAAGATGTGCTCCTCCTGAGTTCAACTATGGATGATTGTCTGACTGAAGATGGTTGTCTGCTCTGCTTCTGCTTTCTCTCCATTTTCGGTAATAAAGTCTGACTGAAGATGGTTGTCTGCTCTACTTCTGCTTTCTCTCCATTTTCGGTAATAAAGTCTGCACATCCCTCAGTGTCCAATAGGGTTGCAGTTGGACCATATTACTAATAGCGGGCTTCAGGCCTTCCAAGTATCTGGTTATGACGAGCAACCCTGTCTCCTTCGAATCACACTTCAACTCATATTACTAATACGGGCTTCAGGCCTTCCAAGTATCTGGTTATGGCGAGCAACCCTGTCTCCTTCGAATCACACTTCAACTTAAACTACATAAATTATGTCATGTACTACTCCACTGATAACTCCTGCTACAAATAGTGGAGTTTCAAGGAACTATCTTGCTGGTAGTAAGGGGGTAGGTACTATTGTTGCGTCTCTTGTTTTATCTTCTTCCAAGAAGTAATTATTTCCTGTCCTTCTTTCTGTTTTGCCCTTTCAGATTTTCTCACTATAAAGAAGCATTCTTCTTCAACTTGATGATGGCGAGCTTCACTCTTCCATCATCGGGCATCTTGTATTCAAAGATCCGCTCAACTGTCTCCAATCCACTCAAGCAAATTTGAATTTAACCCCCTTTCGAAGTCCGGTAGGTCCGCCTTCATTCTCAGATCTTTGTATCCTCCATAGGCATGTCATCCATGTATCTTTTAACAGACATCTCATCTCTGTACACTCCAATAAACACCTCATCTTTGTATCTTACAATAGACACTTCAGCTCTAGGTCTCTGATGATATTATACCTCAAAATGTTGTGGTATATCTTCTTCTTCACTGGAATCATCCGTACTGAAGAAATTCAAGTGTTCTTCTTTCCATCATTCACGGATTTCACTTTACAGTCAACAGTGATCCCGCTCTAGGTTCTTTCCTCAATGACATCGAGTTGATGTGGCACTTGGCGGAGTAGTATGACGTACATGACAGATTCTTGATCAGATTCTGGCAATCGTCTCCTGGAGGGTGTGGTTAGGGTTTTGGTAGCTCTAATTTCAAATGATATCAAAGAGAAAGAAAAGTTTTGGGGGGTGATATGAGAGGATGCTAGAAACTTAAGATAGGAATAGGGTTTGGATAGCTCTGATGTCAAATGATACTAGAGTTAACCCAATAAAATATAACAATAATATTATTGTTGAAATTCAAAAAGACGGTTACAAACAAACAACTAAAATAGGAAATAAAAAAATACATAACATGAGTCCCAGCTAGGGCAGGAGTTGAAGTTGGTGGTGTTGTTGGTTGATGGAGGATTACGAGGTATGAGGGAAGGGGGGGTGAGGAGGGGTTTGGATGATCAATAGGGAACAACAGAGAGGTTGGTCTGTGACTAGACGACAACAAGCAAGTGGTTAGGAGGGCTGGGAAGGTGTTGGCAGCAAGAAAGTAGAGGTTAGAGGGCAGGCCAACGGCTGGACAACGGATTGGGCGGCAGTGAAGAAGTCTGGGAAGAGGCATCAACAAGTTTGGGCAGCTGTGAGGAAGGGTAGGAAGGTAAAGAGAGGAGAAAGGAGACGTCGAAGAAGTGTGGAATGCACGAAAAATAGTAAACGGGCTATTTTCCAGTGGTAGAAACAAATACGGTAAGGGTGGAGGCAAAGGAAAGGTTGCAAGAGAAAGGAAATCAAGGATAAATATCTCCGTGGGATTAAGCTATAGTCGGAGCGCCATTTGAACCTTAGGAGACCGTCACCACCTCGGATGAGTTACAATCGAAGCACCTTCGCACCTTCGGATACAACCCTAGAAGCAAAATACAAGAAGTGGGAGGCTGTCCTAAATAGAAACAACGCAAAACTGACCCTAAGCACACACAAACAACATATAAATATTATTAGGCAACTAAGGAGTGGTCCCTTCTTTGGGCGGCACTTTCAGATTCTAGGAACCAAATAGGTCCAACTTCTTGCAAGAAGAGTTCAACACCAATTCAGTGCTTCCCTGCCCATGTCCCAGCCGAACATATCCATGTCTATGTCCAGCATATCCATGTCCGTGTCCAGCATGTTCGCGCCAGCACCCCGCACATCAACGCCAGCGTTCTACGTGTCTACGCCAGCGTCATGCGTGCGTGCGCGCGGCTTAATCAAATAACGTTAATCTAGTTGTGATGAATCATCCATTATTCAACTAGTAGTCTGACAAAGTAGTAGGTTGATCTAATAGAGAAGAACCACTCGGTTGAATAGTTTAGGTTGTGTTAAAGCCTGAGTTAGATGCAAAACACATCAGATAACCTCTAAATAATAAGCGACACACCAAGAAGCTAATGAAAAGTCTTTCAAAGTCATTCGATTTATTATGAAATTTGTGTAGCCATGAGATGATTAGTTAAAGATAATCTCATAATGCTTAATGCAAATCTAAATGTTTTTAAATATTTACAAAACTTTTTAAGAAAAGAATCAAAATGGTAGCCCAACTATCATTTTAATCCTAACCTATATTAAAAATCCAATTTAATTCATGGACTATTAAAAAAGAAGCCAAAATGTTCCCTTAATTAAAAATAATTGAAAGTGAAGTTAAATTTAATGGATAATATAAAAAATAATGATATATTTTAAATTTAGGTCTTGGGTTTCTTTATAAAATACAATAAATGATTGTTCATTAGTTTGAGATATTTTATGAAAAAATTATCAAAAATAGTTACTTAAATTTATAAATTTAATATATATTAGTTTCATCACAAACATCTAAACATAAAATATGAAATATTAGTAATGTTATCAATAGATTATATATCAAACAAGGTAGGTAGAAAGTTGAATTTTATAAAAACTCTCAAGTAAAAGCTGTAAATTCCTAAAAACCCTTACAACACCATCTGTTCACTTTAATATTAGTTTTTGTTAATTTTAAAGTCAAGTCCATATTTGGCTCATATTTAAGAGTCAAATGGCTAAATCAAACCTTTTATATTGCTCGGGATTGAAATGGTCTCCAAAAATAGTCAAGGGACTATTTTGATTTTCTTCTCTTTTTTTTTTTTATATGGTGGACCACCGCCGCATAAGATTATTCTCATGCCACATTATTCTCATGCCACAAAAGCTCTCATGCCACAAAAGCTAGGTAGGCTCGTCCACCAGCAAATTAGGGCTAAGTAGAACATATTTAAAAAACTATGATTATCACCCCCACAATATCAACACATCCAACACAACACCTACTTTGGCATATAATGTATAAAGGGGGTCCTTCACACTTGTGGATGTATATGGGCCGACTCAAATGAGAAAAACAATAATAACATAAAAACAACTACTACATTATATGCTTAGCATGCCTTATAACTTGTTAGCAAGTTCCATAGGCCATAAATGAAATAAGAAACATCACAACTCGAAAAAAAGTGCAATCACAATACCACGTTTGCAAATTATTTGTGGAAGAATGTGATTCAACCTATTTCTCCTGAACGGTATAAATGATCCCTATTTTCAGTAAATATTGCCTTCCATAAAATAAAAAAGTTATCCACGAAAAGGCAATTAGAATAACCAGCCTGCTCATAATTCATTAACTGCACAACTCCATCATAACTCCCTCAACTCAACAGGACATCAACTTAGAACTCCCTTCACACCACCATTTCTGCTTCCCTCAAGTTAGTCGGTATGCCAATGTCCAGCCTCATGGTTGGTTTGTATTTTTCAGGTACCTCCAAACCCCCCTGTACACAGAGCTCAACTACAGCTGGAGCTTGCCCATAGAAATTCCGCAACTCCCGCTGTAGCTCAAGCATGTCTTCTGGCACATGCCATACATACCTTGGTGGAACCAGGTCATCAAGAACAGCTTTTTGCCATCCATGCTGCCCATTTCTCTGTTGGTGCTTGTAAGCACCACAGTTCTGTGCTTTATGGCCACTATAGCCAACATGTACCTCAGGACAATACCCGCATACTCGCACAGCATACTTCCTCATCAACCTCTCTGCCCCCTGCCTCACCAACTCCCATGCCTCAAATGTCTCAATTGCCAGCAATGCTACTTCTTCGGTGCCAACCGGTGGAGTTATCTCAGAGTCAGGAATCTCAAAAAGTATTGGTTTCCTAAGCTTTGCATAGGGGTCAAGCTCATCAGAAAGATCATCTTCATTAGCATCAATGATTTCATTTTTCCCACGACGAATGACTGGCTTTCTCCGCCTCTTGGTGTGGAGTTCAGGGAGGTCTACACCAGCTTGTATGCAGAGCTCTATAAGAGCTGGGATACGAGGGATGGAAAAACGCTCCTCATGGGATATACGTCTTCCAAGGCGGTCGAACAAATGGTAGGCTTCAATAGGGACAAACACATCATCAACAGTCGCACTCGTCCATTCATGAAGACCTCGCCGGGTTTCAGCCCGGAAGCCTCGGCACGAGTGAAAGGGGTGCCCAGTTGGTCCAACATGAATTTCATTGCAATGCCTGCAAGAAACTGTTCATCAATGAAACTTCTGTAATAATATTCTTTGAAAAATGCAGAATGGGAGTTGATGTTTACTTGCAGGCGAGGACTGGGACTACTTTCATTAGCTTCTTCAAATTGTTTATCAGTGTTACCCTTGCATTGAGCACTTCATATGCAACAAGAACAAGACTTTTGACCAACATACCATTCCTTGGAGGAGGGGTCGGTGTCTTAGGTTTTCCCTGTAATTTCTTCATCCTCTCCCTTGCAGCTCTCCTCAGCTCCACTATGGGTATTGGAAAAGGCTTCTTCTCTTTCTTCGAGTAAAAACGTGGTAGATCAACATTCTGGGGATGATTGTTTCTAATAATGATTTTTCTTGATGAATGTTTGAAATCATGAATCCATGTTGAGACACCAACGTTCAATGAAAACTTCAATTGATTGCCGCCATGCTGCAATTAAGAAAGAGGATAAAAGGGAAATAAAGATTCCACATTTTCCTATGCCTTCTACCTTCTCCAATTTGCGCAAACAACGATGAAAGTGAGAGGCTTCCCTCCATAAAGAAAAATCATGATCTCAAAGACATTCAATAAAGACATATATGCATATTGATGATGAATCAATTCCTAGAATCAAATCTCTCCTACATAAAAATAGTGCTTTAGCTCTCCAACTTCCCCAAAAAAGGAGCTACGATAAAATTAGGCACAAAAATGTAATAACACAGGCCACAAATGTGCTTTAAAGCCAACTTGTGCCTAAACCATAAAAAGGCTCCAATGCTCTCTGTAGATGAGTACAGTGGAAAGAGACATATCTGCTCTAATTCACAGAAATATTTTTAAGTTTCTAGATAATTTACCAGATAAATAGCTTAAGGAAAAATTTTTGCTGTCCTTCACAGAGAAAGTAATTATGTGTCTGATTTGTAACCTAAAATCCCAGTATTATGTGATCAATAAATTTAATTTCCAATCAAAAATTCCAAATTAATTGATCTGCTATGGATGACTGACTTTTATGAAATGGCGATCAGATCATTTAACTGAAAACAACACTTAATTAGCCATCCTACCTTTAATCAGCAACCCTAACCAGATCCCTAGATATATAACGAAACGTAATGAGCCGAACAACAATCAAGAATCAAAACCAAATCGTTCGCTAACTTTTTAATATTTTATTGAATTTATTTGGTTGGGATTTCAGTAAACTATCACTAAAATCTCAATCCACGTTGAAAAATCCTTAAAAAATCAAACATAAATTGACGCCTTCACCGAAATCTACCTGTCGAGTAAAATCCAATGATTATGAGATTAGTCAAACAGTTTAACCATCCAGAATTAGATTTGAAAATCACTACACAGGGATGCATCGAGGTCAGCCGCATACCAAAGAAGAAGAGCTCGATGACAACAACATGAGAGAGGGTTTCCTCAAAGCGTCACATTCACTAGCAAATGAAACCCTAAAGGGCACAAAATTGGGAATGCAGGTTCTGGATTCTACTCTCCAAGTTGGAAATGCGTTTGTACCGGAAGCGCCGTGAAGACAAACCATGATCCGTCCACCTTCGGCTGCTGATTTTCTTCTCAGTTTTTTTTGGAAATTTAACAGCACACAGCCAAATTCTTTAAAAATTGTTGTATAAGTTAAGAAAAAATAATTACATCACTGCATACACAGTTTTGTAGAGCCCAGTCTCGAGCTGGTATGTGAAAATTTGAGGCCCACCTGTATAAAAAATAAAAATAAGACTGAAAACACGCTACCCATCGAATATTCACTCACATTATTCTGAATATTTTTCGTGTTAGTGGTGTGTTATTGAGGTGTTATTCATGTCAGAGAATATATTTCGTGTTTTTAATGTGTTATTGGTGTGTTATTCATGAATAACATCTCAATTACAAACTAATAACACATGCATAACGCGAAAAGTATTCAGAATAACACGAAAAGGAATATTTCTATAACACGGTCGAGTCAGGTTGCGCGTTTTTAATGTGTTTTTTGTGTGTTATTACAAACTAATAACACATGCATAACGCGAAAAATATTCAGAATAACACGAAAAGTAATATTTCTATAACACGATCGAGTCGGGTTGCGCGTTTTTAATGTGTTTTTTGTGTGTTATTTATGTGTTATTGTTGTGTTATTTAAGTAATATTTTTCATGTTATTCATGTGTTATTGGTATTATTGTTTAAAGAATAATAATATCTCAAAATCAACTCAATAACATATCAATAATACATGAATAATGCGAAAATTATTCATAATAATGTGAATGAAATATTCCTATAATATGGTCGGGTTGGGTCGCACGTTGTCATTTTTTTTATTGAGGTGGGCCAGTCCTCCACATGTCAACTCTAAATTGGACACCGTCATGTGGAGTCCTGATATAATAAATTTAATATATGTATATATCTGTTTGTGCGCCAGTCCTTCAGAACTCCATAAAATTTCCAAATTCTTATGCATATATGTATCTTTGGGTCGCACGTTGTCATTTTTTTTTTATTGAGGTGGGCCCGGCCCTCCACATGTCAACTCTAGATTGGACACCGTCATGTGGAGTCCTGATGTAATAAATTTAATATATGTATATATCAGTTTGTGCGCCAGTCCTTCAGAACTTCATAAAATTTCCAAATTCTTATGCATATATGTATCTCTCGCACCAAACTTTCATCCTTATAAAACAAGCATCTTGCATATGAACTAAACTATGAATTTTGCTATAAAAAAATGGTGAAAAAGATAAATTTGAGGATTTGGTTTGTAAAAATAAAAATTTAAGTGTGAGATATGTAAATGCATAAGAATTCTTTTTTAATTATTTGAGCATATTAAACCCAAACACTACATAAGAAATAACCTTAACATTTATCCAAATCAATTGAAAGCATAATTTGTAATTAACCTTATAAATTTAATGACTCTCTTGAGGCCATCAAATCCTCATGGAGTCTTTCACTATTATAAATGATTCTTTTGGAAGGCAACAATGTTTATAAATAATTTGAAAAATAGTGCTCTAAATTAATTAATTAATGATGTGTAAGTAGAAAGATAGAATCCCTATCATCTCAAACACGCACTTTATTCATAGTTCTTATTTTTAAATTTCATTCATATGTATGACATAATAGTCTTCAATAAGGTGAATATGTTGGTGATATTAATATAGTTTTTTTAATTATAATGATTTTTTTTTTTTTTTGCAAAAAATGTAAATTGTTTGACCACTAACACCCATCTACTAAGATCATGGGATTAAGGCTCTAGGCTTAAGAAGAATAAGTGGGTTGGCCATTATAAAAATCTATAAGCTCTTTTCAAGATGATAAGTAAGTCAAATGGAAAGAAATAATAAAAATAGTCAGATGTAACAACAACTTCAGTACTTCCATATACTTGGTGTATCTGATCTTCAAAAATAAATTTTTTTGTAATAATAATATCCTAAAAATAGCAAGAAAATAATAGCCATATTATGTATGACAATGAGCCGAAAAACAAAACAATGATAAAATTGTAGTTTGTCCTGATTGCATCAACAAACATATCATTCTTTCCAAAAGAATTTAGTCACTATTAGGAAAATAATATAACGTGCAAACAAAATATGTACAGATTTGATGATGTTATAGTGATATTATAGTTCTATGTATCATAATACCACTACAAATGATTAAAATATGTACACAATAAGCTGTCTTTTCACAAATTTTTTTAATTTTATTAATTAAATTATTTATGTTCCGTGCCTGGTAATTCCAACGGGCAAAAGTAAGCATTTTTAATGCAAGGGATAATTACATAAATTGGCGCAGAAAACAGAGGAGTGAGGAAGACGCAGAGACAGCTTTGAGCATCTGAGAGACGAGTGGGAAGTGATAGAGAGAGAAAGAGGAGAAGATGGGTGGATGGGAATGGCTGCGGTCGAAGAAGACGGTTGCTGGTTTGGTTCTGGGGCAGTTCGTCTCTATCCTCATCACCTCCACCGGCTTCTCTTCCTCCCAGCTCTCTCAAAGAGGTTTTGAATTCTCTCTCTCTCTCTCTCTCTAAAAAAAATGCTTTTTTTGAACTTCATGGAGGAGAAAGTCAATGTTTTTATGACAGAGTTCTCATGGCATGCAATCATACAGATTTTAGAGAATTTTATTCTTTTATTATTATTATTTTAAAAAGATCATTTTTAAATTCTTCATTGCCATCTTTGATTGGTTTTATATTCAAAATTTGAATATTGGATGTGAGATTGGTTGCAGGGATCAATGCCCCAACATCACAGTCATTCCTAAACTACTTCCTGCTGGCTATCTTTTATGGCAGTATTTTAGTTCATCGGAGGAGGTGGCTGCAGGTTCTTCCATCTATCTCCTCAAACTTGATATAAACCAGTACCAAACTTAAACATTTTCTACTTATTATTCTTTCTGCAACAAGGACTGAACCAGGAAAAATTTTCAGGAAAAGAAAAATTGAAGTTTGGGGGTTAGATATGTAAATACATAAGAAATGAGCGGTATATGTGTAAATCTTGCTGAAGAAAAATTAGTTCCCCTTGTATGATGGGGCTTCTATTCTTTTGGATTCAGTAATAGAGCAGATTGTATCGCATTTTAAAGATCAACTTTCATTTTCCAGTTACCATCTTTTGGAAAGTTCTTGATGTCTGCTTGTCATTTTTCTAAGTACTTAATTCGCTTTGTAGATTATTTTAATTAGAAAGTTGAGCAGTCTCTGTTGCTTGTTTGTAAGATAATTCTTTTATCTTCCATCAATGCAGAAGAAATGGTTCTATTATGTTATGCTTGCCATTGTTGATGTTGAGGCCAATTATCTTGGTGAGTGCTTGGTAGCTATTGCTGTTTATCTCAAAAATCATTATTCATGAAGCCTTTTTTTAAGGAACATATGTATTTACACATCTAACGCCAAAACTAAATCCATTCACTTAAGTTGCTTTCTACATGTAGTGGTGAAGGCTTACCAGTATACGTCTTTCACGAGCGTTATGCTTCTGGATTGTTGTACGATTCCATTCGTTATATTCCTTACATGGATGTTCTTGAAGACGAAGTACGGATACAGGAAGTTTGCCGGTGTGGCCATCTGTATTGCTGGACTTGTGCTTGTTGTGTTTTCTGATGTGCATTCCAGTGACAGAGCAGGTAATGTCTTCTATACCTCTTTTTCCTGCAGTATTTTATAGATATAATCCTTCAATTCGAAGTATGTTATGGTTTCAGACTTTTTGGTTGCATGTAGGAGGGCCGAACCCCGTGAAAGGTGATCTACTTGTTATTGCCGGTTCCATGTTGTATGCAGTCAGCAACGTTACTGAGGTATGGATTAAAAACTTAAGGATTGCTTCTTGTAAAAACTACAATGGATAATGAGTTGTTGATAAATTTCTTTTGTGGAAAGGTATGTTTGTAAAATTTACGTTAATGGAAGAACACATTTTATACTTGAATCATATTAGTTTACTAAACATTTGAATTGAACTATGCTAAAGTGTAAAAACAACTGTATTTATTTATTTATTTTTTGATTCTGTGGTCTTATAAGAAGATTTTCTGCTTTTAATCATATCATCAGACAACTCTATGTTATTATTATCGCATATGTTCTCATCAGTTGTATTCCTAATTCTATAACTCTTTCAGGAATTCATTGTAAAGGAAGGTAGCAGGGTGGAGTTGATGGCCATGTTGGGTTTTTTTGGAGCCCTTATCAGTGCTTGTCAAATGTATCCTTGAATTTCAGTTAGGAGTCATATTTTTACTTTCAAAAGACTGAACTTCAGATGCAGTAAGCCTACAAAGAACACGAAAAAACAACCATTTTGATAAGTATTAACTGCTGACTGTTGTGAAAATTTAAATTTAGGTCAAATAATAAAACTGCAGTCCTCAAAGTTACTAAAATCAGGAATATCTATATTTCAGCTAATAATTTAGATGAGCCTTTAACTTGCTCACCGAATGTCTACTAGCTTAACCTTTGTTTCTCCTTTGAATTTGAATTTGAAATTAAAGTTTATGGGATATTCTAATTTGTTCCTTGAGTGTTCTCTTTAGAAGCATACTTGAACGAAACGAGCTTAAATCTGTCCGTTGGACCACTGGAGCGGTGAGCCATTTCTCTCCTTTCGTCTCATTCTCTTAATCTTAGCATGCACATTACACTCTTTTTTTCATCTCACAGCGAAAGTATCACTCTCTATAGCATATCTTATGCCTTTATTTTTAAGTATCGATTTTGGCAGCATCAATAATTTGGTTTTTAGTGGTTAGTTTATTTTGTATTATAGTAGCTAACGGTACTCTGTGTCATTTGATATGTATGTCTATAGATTAAGGAATCATGATGGATTCAAGGTATCCATGAAATAATATATTGAAGTTATCTTTGAATTAGAAAATTCACTGAATCATTCATGTTTGGTTTATATTAATGAACAAAAAATTCGAAGACAACAAAATCAAATAAAGCAAACACACAAACACAGCGCATACCAAATTTACTTATGCTCATGAATGCACTGATATTGAATAACCAAGCTTAAAAAAAAGGTACATGGAGTTCATATAAAGTTGAAGAGAAAGATGATATATTTTTCTGTATATTATGATTGAAAGTGATGCAAAGATGAGGGCTAGACATAGAGAATAAGTTGTTACTCTTTTTTTTTTTCTATATTTTAAAGTTTAAATGAGAGTATTTTTTACAATCCTTCAATTCTTTAACTTGATCAGAGAACTGAACCCCACATATAGAAGGAATTATATGTCCAACCTAAAGTTTTAATACTAATAAGTTTTGCATATGCCTGTGATTTGTATTTATGACTACAAAGATAACTAAAAACCCATTTCATTGACTTAAGATTGCATCTAAATTTTAGAAGTTTCACAACCATCCTTTGCCACAGTGCAGTTGACGTAAGGCATGACTCATTAATAGAAACAAATCTAGGAAAATTGCATATAGAGTCGGAAACTGAAGGAATTAATCATAGACAAAATTAGACTAGCAGTGAAAACAACAAAAAATAGAGAGTAAAACATTGAAGTTGGAGAACCATCAATTCAAAAATACTAAAATACCCAAGTCAACATTCAAAATAGTAATTAAGGAGATAAAAAAAGATGATGATTGGGACGGTAAGCTATAAGGGCACAATATACCTCCACAAAGTTTCTATCAAGTATTGAGATTAGTGGATCTACTCGTGCTAATCTTGGCATTAATTTTTCAGGTGCTACCATTTGTCGGATTTGCATTGGCAATGTTTTTGTTCTACTCTACTGTTCCAGTCATACTTAAGGTATATTTTAGCATCCAATTTATTCGACAAATAAATGCATCATTCTTACTCAGTAAAATTGACAAAGTTTAGATGCATACATATCTGAAGGCATTATTGTATTTTGAATCAAGTATTCTTTTATTATGATAATTTGGATTGTCCTACGCTCCTGATGAGAAAATACATCAGCAGTTATTGATATAATTTTGTTCCAATTCATTTGCAATTGGTGTTCCCCCAAAGTCCTAACTTTCTTGTTCATACAGATATGTGGATCAGCCATGCTAAACCTGTCACTGCTGACCTCTGATATGTGGGCAGTTCTGATCCGAATATTTGCTTATCATCAGAAGGTTTCAGCCATATTTGGTTATTGATACTAATGACTCCCAAACCTTATCTTTTTTATTTACATTGGAAGATTGTATGAACACGCAGGTGGACTGGATGTACTTCTTAGCATTTGCAGCTGTAGCAGCTGGGCTTTTTATATATTCTGGGTGGGTACATCTTCTCTATGCCATTTCATACTATCTGTGTATAAATTTCATTTAAATTAGCTGATCATGTCTTGGTTATGTACATTTCAGAGTTTTCAAAGAGGATAAAACACAAAGCACCAGCAATGAACAGTATGACAAGGAAAGGAATGGAGAGGTTGGGATTGATAACTCGGTTGTAAGGTCTCATACTGCGACTGGAAGCTTTTATATGTAGTGGGAAGGATTTGAAGCTTAAGCCTGTCCTACACAGATCGAAGGTAATATCACTCGATTAGTAAATCAACGATCTATTGGATGAATAACCATCAATGGATCTAAGGAACACTACAGGCTGTAGGGGAGTAATAAAACGGCATTCTTTAGGCAATTTATGGGCCATATTTTGGCTTATAAATTGAGATTATATTTTAACTTATTTGTAACTTTAAGACATATTTGAGCGCTGGAATGTTGAGTGAAAATAAGTTAAAACTTAAGTCTTAACTCAAAGGCTGGGTGTATTTAAATGCAGTCAAAAGAAGAGGTAAGCTTATATGACAGTTCCTTAGTACAAACTGGCAGAAGAGAAAAACATCTATGCCTCCAGTGCTTATATGACAGGTTGCCTTAAACTGGGCCAGATGCTGTCTCGGATCGCCATTGCCACGAAAAGTATGGAATTTTGGTACCAGCATATGTGAATTTTGACCTGCAATGACTTAATGTGTCTTCTAGTAAAACAATTGTTTCCAAATTATAGAAGATGAATTTCAACCAGTTTATATTTAGGTCCAGCTCAATCTTAAAGAAAGAATTGCTCAAAAAACTGTTCTATTCATTAATCATTTGGGCTTATATAGGGCCTTACACATTTTACAAATAAGTATCTAGACTTCTTCTATATTTCTTATTTACAATTAAGACCTAACTTAAATACAAATCTCAACTCTCCCCCTCAAGATGTGAAAAAATTATTCACTAAGCCCATCTTGACACATAACTTACACAACTCTAATGAGCTAAGTCCTTTACAACCAACCACTTGCTCTCTAGTGGCTACGTGATGTAGCTCCAATAGTTCGTTATTTAGCTTTCCATGATACAACCAGCTACTTGCTCTCCACATGTTTGGTTCTAACGTGTTGCACCGGGTTGTTGGCAATGTTGATAGTTGACTTGTTGTTGCATTACAACTTCATTTGAGCTCCTTGGTCCACCTTGAGCTCTACCAATAAGGTTCTCAGCCACATCATCTCGACAACTCCTAAGGCCATGGCCTTATATTCTTCCTTGGTTGTTGACCTCGCTACTACCGATTGTTTTTTACTCTTCCAAGAGAACAAGTTGTCCCCCACAAACATGCAATATCCAGGTGCGGACCTCCTACTATCAGCACAGCTTGCTCAGTCAGAGTCACAATAGCCCTCAATGCCTACATGTCCATTCTTCCTGAAGATCAACACCCCCCCCCTGGTGCACTTTTCAGCTTTTCAGTTAACTCAAAATCTGATACACAACATTCATGCAGTCCTTCCTCAAATCATGCACGTAGCGACTCACCACGCTTACTACAAATAATGTGTCGGGACGAGTGTGATTCATATAGATGAGACAACCTACCAATCTGTAGTACCTCTCTCGATCAACTGACTCTCCTGTCTCTGCACTCAACTTTCCCTTTTGCTCAATTGGTGAAACTGCAGGCTTGCATCCCAGCATGTCTGTCTCTGCGAACAAGTCTAGCACACACTTCCTCTGAGATAGGACAATCTCTTTTGCTCCACGAGCCAACTCAATCCCAATAAAGTATCTAAGTTGTCACGTGTCCATCTCAAACTCTTTGTCCAATCTTGCCTTTAGCAGTGCAATTCTCTCCATCATCATCACCGGTGATCATCATATCATCCACATACACGACAAAGTATAGTGGTGTGACCACAATTTAGTCGAACGAACACTGTGATCTGTTGATAGTCCATGCCTACCATTGCTCTCCTAAACTTGTCAAACCAAGTTCGAGGAGACTTTTTCAAACCGTATAATGACTTCTTCAGTCTACATACCTTCCCCACTGTTTGGTTTGTGTCATAGTTTGGGGATATCTTCATGTACACCTCCTCCAACATATCCCCATAAAGAAACGTATTCTTCACATCCAGTTGGTGAAACCTCCAACCCACTATTCACAGCCAGAGAGATGAGAGTCTTAACAGTGCTCATCTTCTCCATTGGTGCAAATGTCTCATCATAGGTGATGTCATACATATGATTATACATTTTAGTCACCAACTGTGCTTTGAAGCGATCAATTTTTCCTTTTGAGATCAGCTTCACTATGAAGGCCCAATTGTCTTTTTCCCTATTGGTAGCAATACAAGCTCCTACGTATTATTCTTCTTAAGAGCACCAAGTTCCTTTAGCATGCCAGTCTTTCACTTTGGATCCTTTTTAGCTACCTACCAACAATTGGGTGTAGAGATTGTGCCCAAAGTTGTAATGAATGCTTCGTATACAAGCGATATATTAGAGTGTGAGACAGAATGAGCAATGTCATGTGAGAAACTAAAACGATCAGAAGAATAACGATCAGGAAATGACTCGCATTATTGCGAGAGGTCCTCCTTAAAGTCATGGGAGTGTGAGGAGAAGAGAGGAACCATATCACCTGTGTAATCTGATTCTGAGGTGGATGGTGCAGGTGTATCCGGAGTCAGGGTATATATGGACAAGGCATTTGATGGCATGGGTGGCACGGCGAACACTGTTCTCTCATTATACCTCCTCCTTGTATAAACTCTCAGCTCTACTTGAGCTTGAGTCTCACCACCTTCAAACTCATTTTCCTGATTGATCGGTTCTTCCACAGCTTTATTTTTCTCATTATTCGACCATTCTTTAATAGATATTTCCCACATAACGAGATAAGGCATCATTCCCACATGTATCAATCTCTCACCATCACTACTCTCCCCCTCTCGCCTCATACCACAAGCATCTGGCAAGTCACCAAAGGGTGAGATCACCTCCAAGGAATAATACGGTAAAAATTCTCAACGCCACATCTCACAAACGATCGCCTCTCTATTGGGCTCCAACAGACATTTCCTTTCTGAGTAGCAGAATAACCCATAAAAACACACTTCACAGCTCAGGGATCCAGCTTCCCTATTGATTGTCTATTGTGCTTCACATAATATACACAGTCAAGTACCTTAAATGAAAGAATCACGCCATTTTCTCCATTCAACAACTCACAAGGAGATCACCACTCCAATATTCTTGAGTGGATTATGTTGATTAATTGAGCACCTGTTAAAACTGCTTACCCTCAAAAGCACTTTAAATTGCTTGCCCCCAAAAGTGCTTCGGGACATTCATCAAGATCATCATGCTTCTAGCTATTTCTAGAAGGTTTCTATTCTTCATCTCTATTACTTATTTGTGTTGGTGTGTATGGACATGTGGTTTGATGTTGTATGTTACTTATTTGTGTTGGTGTGTATGGATATGTGGTTTGATGTTGTATCCCTTGGGATGACATGTACTCCTCAAATGTCTTATTGGTATACTTTCCTATTATTAAACCTCAATACCTTCACTACTGTACCGTATTGAGTTGGAATCGTTCTGTGAAAATCTTTAAAGCAAACAAGAACATAACTTTTGTCTCTCATCAGATATAACCAAGTAACAAAAGAAAAATAATCAATAAATGTCACAAAATATCTATAACCATTCATCGAAGTTGTAGAACAAGATCATCATGCATCTGAATGCTCTAAATCAAACACAAAAGGACTCCTCTTGCCATAACTCACATAAGAGTTAGTATGCTTACCAAAGTCACAAGCATCACACACAATGTTTTGCTTATTTACCTTTTTCTATAGAGACGAATACAAACTATTCAATAAATTAAATGAAGGGTGTCTCATGTGTCTGTGATGTTGCAATATCACATCCTCCACACTGCTCTCAGATCCTCCTACTCCAGCACTCTCTACCATGAATGCCAGAGCTGAGTCCATCCCCTCTCCATCAAAGTACCAAAGTCTGTTATGCCACGTGTCAGTCCAAAGTCTCCGGTCAGTAATCTTCTCTTGAAAGATGACCTAAGGAATGTCAAATGAAACAACACAATAACGATACTAATGGATAAAAGGTTCATTGGAAAGGAATGAGCATGTAAAACATTGAACAAAGTCATAGAATTGATACGCTTACCAACCACAGATAGTGTTGTACCATCAACAATCTGAATGCTTCTCTCTGGAACTACTATATGAGTATTAGAAGAAAACTGCCTAGCGTTACATGTCACATATCGAGATACACTAGAATCTACTATCCATTATCTTCTTGTGGTGGATATGGAGGCAAAAGCATGCGTATCCACGAGTACCTTTAGTTGAGTCGGCATAAGTAGCAGTGTTGCCCTTGAATGGCGATCAGGTGGATGAATTCTCAGTAATATCACCTACTATTCTATGTTTCCTTTTCAATATCTCAAGGAGCTCGTGATCCTTATGGATAAAGACCATCCTTGTCTCTCCCTCGTTCTCCGCTACCATCAAATTTTCCCGATAGCCCCCTCTTCCACCTCTTTGGCCTCCACAACTACGACCATGACCTCTAGACTGTCCACATCCACCTGTCTCTCTCTCCTTTGGTGGCTTTGGATAGGTCTTGCTCAGGTGTCTCACTTTTCCAAGTTGTACCACTTGTTGGTCTTCCCATGAGCACCTATCATACCTAACTCAACCTTTAACTCTCATCAGATATCCCTATATTCACTTCCTTACTAGAGATCCTCAATCTAATGCGACCAACTCAGATACGTGGTCGGTTCATCAAGCTTCGGATCATAGGAGGGAGATCTAGCTTCACCTGCTTCAGAGCATGGGCTGAGGTAGTGGCTCTTGTCCATTCACTAACTCTCTGTATGAATTCGACCAAAACCTTCAGAACTTTAAGATCTATCTTCTCAAAAAGTTAAAATCCTTTATCCACCGCACTATTTCCGTCTCTTAATATCCTCAATCCCAAGGATCAAGTCTTGATCACACAGATCACCTGCGACTTCCTTCTCCACTGCTTTCTCCTTACACCGAATGCCTTATTAATGTTTTTCCCTTTTGCTTTGTCTCCTCTGCATTGAGCCGCAACCCTCACGCTCAAACAGCCTGCTCCTCTTACCGAAGTTGTGTTACTATTCTCCCCTTTATTTCGTCTCAACAACATCGAGCTGCAACCATCTCTCTGCGTCAAAATCTTCCTCGCGTGAATCTTATCCCAACGCCGAAGTCTGTTGAAGTATTATTCGTGTGAACTGTATCCCAACGATGAATTCTTTCTTGCGCCTCAATCTTCTTCATGCTCGAATAGAATCCCTATCTTCTTCACGTGAGAGAGAAAGAATCCCTATCTCTCTCACGTGAACCCTTCTCCTCCGCGCTACTCCGCGCAGGAAAGCCTAGGGGTCTGATACCATAAAGAAAGAATTGCTCAAAAAACTTGTTCTATTCATTAATCACTTGGGGTTATATAGGAAATTACACATTTTATAAATAAGTACTCGACTTTTTTTATATTTCCTATTTCAATTAGGACTCTAAAACAAGATACAAATCTCAACAAAATTCAATTCAATAAACAGCTCACAAGTCAAAAGTTAAATTGATGGGCTAACAAATCAAGCATGAGCCAACTTTGACTTAGCTGGCCATGAATCGACTTACTGTAAAGATGTTTAAAACAACTAAAATATCTCAATCCTTTTATCATTTTTATCAATAATAATTATTTAAGTTAAAATCTTCTCTTTTATGATGACTAAACTCATCAGCTGACCCGAATAATTCATAAAATTAAGCAGAACTTTTACTTTAACCTCAAATTCAATTAACTGATTAAGTGAAAGCTAAATATGATAAGAAACTCAGAGAACAACTCCACTCTTCTATACCCTCATGCCCCATGTCTACATCACAAAAATCACTAAAATAATTAGTCATTGTGAAAAGGAAAATAGGGCCAAAAAAAAATTTGTGAACAAAGAATTGTTACTAGCTCCATGGTTTCATTTATTTGTTGACATGCAACATCAATGGATGACCAGTTAGGGCATACAAACAAATTCCTAAACCAATATGGAAATATCTGAAATCTCCATCTCTCATAAATAAAATGAGGTAGAAAAAATTACAGAACCTTAACAATTAAATCAACTGATGTGTTATTTGATGAGTCTCTCTTCTTACCAGAATTGTCTTAGCTAACTATCCTAAACCTTATATGAGATCAAATTCTGGAGCTTATTTCATGACCCTATGCAAGAACTGTAATATACAAATTGTTTTTAACACGAACTTGATCATGTCTCTACTCCAATGCCGGGGGATCTCGATTTTTTGCGGTGATAATGCGGGAAAAGCATCCTCCTGATTTTCTTTTCTGCTGAAGTTTCAGTCGTCGCCTGCATTAAGCATTGAAATTAGGGGAGACCTAATTTAATCACCAAAACTAAAATGAGACGAAAAAGAAAAGACCAATGAAAAAAATACATTAAAATTTACCAGGCTACAAGCAAGGCAAGAAAAATATCTTTTATTGTGCTTCTCATCTATCTGTGCAAAAGTCTTTTAATGCTATTTATAATTGCAGATTTTGATTTCTTTATTTAATTAGACAGTTCTTTGTAATTGCTTTCTGTTGTATTCATTTCATGAGGTTATATTATTTATTAAAAAAAAAAAGAAGCTGACTAGAAGAGAATAAAATTATAAAGGTCGTAGATGATTAAAAAAAGCAAGATTTACTTGCACACTGCTCATTTCGTTTGCATATTTAACACAAACTCTAATTTCCACACACACACACAGATATATATATATAATTTGGTTGACTGACGGAACCGCCAACCACCCCTAGCTCGCAACCCGTCAGATCCGGGTTTGGACCCATGCACCTAACCACCGAGTACCACCCTTATATATCACAGTCGCCTGGGGGGATTCGAACCCCAGACCAGAGACTTACAACTACTGAAACAAATGCCTACCAACTAACCTGGAAACGCAGCCCATCTATATATGTGTGTGTGTGTGTGTGTAAAAATGCATCTTTTACCTTCTAATAGCTAAAATAGTTGTATTTTTTAAAGTAGAGTTTCGATGTTAGATATGTAAATACATATGAATTCGGTGGTATTTATGTAAATGCCCTAAAAAAAAAGAGGTGAAAAAAAGTTGGAAGGAAATAATGAAAATTTTTTTTTC